AAAAGTTGACAAATTTTAACCTTAAGTCGTGAAAAGATTTAACTTTTGAAACAACTTCTGGTAACAACTATGAAGAGATATTAACCGTTAGCTACAAATTGGCCACAACTTAAACCGTTAGGCGTAATTAAAAGCCATCAACCCATGGAGACCCTCTTATATTTAATAGTAATGCCAAACTAAAGGTTTAGAATTTTCCTTTATTGAGGTATAGTACTTCCGAGTACTTAATTATAAAAGCGAAGGAAGAAAAGCCAGTAGCCATACGTACACAAAAAAAAAATTATCTCCCTCCCTCCCCCCCACTGAATCATATTTATATATGTGTTAAGCTCGGCCAGATTTGAGGTTCTAATTCATGAGTCGAGGCCTGAGGGCTGACCATTAAATTGACAATACAAAGCATAATGGCGCCGTGATAAACATGATGCAAGAAAGACGGTCAAAATGAACGCAGTCAAAGAGAAGCAGTCGAAATTTGTCGACGAAGAAGTTATAAACTGGCTTTTCTTTTGTTTGCATTAGATACTGACACACCTTTCTCACTGCATGACAGAATGCTAGTAGGTCCTGTTACTCCAGGCCAGCTAACTCGGATTTGTTATATCATAGGAGTAACATTACTTTTAATTATTTACTCGCTCCAAACGTAACTATTTCAGTAAAGATTATAGGTGAGCGTTCAATTCCACTCGGTAAATTATCCGTCTTGATATGCAATGTGTTAAACCTTAAAACTAATATGCAGCCAAAAACAAACAAAGAAGCTTTCCTAAGTGTAATTGGAATATTGGAATCGGACAAATGTTTTGAGAGTCTGTGAACCCTTTGACAGTAGGTTTATATATTTTGCGTCCATTTCAGCACGGATGTCTCTTTATGGCTTTTCGGTTTCGCTCATCAATTAAAGTGAATCTGCAATCCTAGTACCTGCACAGTAAAGCATATTTCGATACGTTCGAAGCCTGAGACTGATAAAGACTAAAAAGGTATGCTGCCTAAAAAGTTGTGGCGTCATTAAAGTCTAGTTGGCATTGGTTTCTCGTCAAATGAACAATTGTACTAATAATAATTCGAAATAATTTGGATATATCAACAAAGTTGAAATGGTAAATTGGCCACCGTAACGATTACAAAAGCTGATGTTTCGAGCGTTAGCCCTTTCGCTCCGACGAAGGGCTAACGCTCNAATAAACTTTTCAGTTGATCATATTGTGAGAAAATTCAATCATGAACATTTAATCGAAGGCAAATTTCAAAGCAAGTCGATGAAGCGCCTCTTGTTAATCTCATAGCATCTATGCGTAAAATCTCCAGGGAGCCACAATCATACTATCCTTGAAGGGGTTGTTAAGGATTATTTTCTGTTCTTTCGGTTTATAAAAGAATTATTAAATAAGAATTAAATAGAATAAAAAGAGCGAACCGTAAATTAGTTTAAACGGAAGTTATGTTACTAATTATGTTATTGATTGACAGTTTAAAAATTGAAAGACCCGGATTGACGGGAGGCGCTATTATGGTGGCTGAACACAATTTTCGCGCGCGCTTTTGCTGATGCATTTCAGCGCGCGCACAAGGATTGGAAAAAAAAAAACATGCCGTCAACAGAACGGTCATTTCATTTACTCAACACGTACCCGCACTATCTGTGCTATCTTTTCCCTATAGTTGGCGCAGTGCATAGAGGGATTTGATCTTTTATTACAAAGATATGTTAGAAAAGTTAACGGTGCAAAGAACCTAGCAATTCTCAGCTTTTTCGTCGTTACCGAAAGAAACCAGTTAAATGCAGCGCATGCGTAGTTGGTCACAAAATTGCGATTGAATGGAAAATTGCCTTCTCGGAAATATGCCTATTTCTTGAGAACCGCTCATTAGAATTTCACGAAATTTAGCACAAAAATACTTTAGGAAATAAGTAATTGGAGTATTGAAAAAAAATTATTTTAAACAAAGGAAATTCTAGAAAATCGAGTGAACCTTCAACAAGGGATAATCAAGGATCTCTCTGAGTATCGTTACATGCTCGCTGCATGCAAATTATAAAGAAAATCTAATGACTAGATTTTCTACAAAGAAACGAAACCGATTTTAATTGTCTATTTATATCTATTCATGTCGCCATGGCAATAGCATATACGTCAGCTTAAGTATTGAAAAAACAAAGTTTGGGTTGTTAACTTGCTTGCTGCCAATTTTGACGACCGAGAGATCAAGGGTTTTAGAGAAAGTGGTGAAAGAAAAAAAGGTATCAAAAACTGTGTTCAGCCACCTTAATTTAAACGCAATAAATTAAAAGGAGAAAAAATTAAATTAAAATTAATAATTAAAAGGAGAAATTAAATTAAATAAATTAAAAGGAGAAAAAATCAAGTGTGGTTTTTCTTCGTTGTTTTCTTTGCGGGATTTTTTGGGAGTTTGGATGGGGAGAATTTGGAGACCTAAGGAGAAACAGGGATTAATTGAGTGGTCCAAAGTGGGATGTAAACTTCAATAGAGGGTCTCAGTGGGGTTAACTGTTAGTCATAAATAGGCCAAAAAAAATTACCGTTGAGCGGAAAA